GCCGTTTCGACCTGATCATGGGGCCGCTTCAAGTCAAGAGCGCCGGTTGCTTGATAGAGGTGAGGGATGTGATAAGGGCACCGTCACCTCCTTCCTCCATGTTTCGCATCCAACTCCTTGGAACTGGTAGATGCTGGTAGGTTCGGACATCATTGGACCGGATGAAAGCACGCTGGTCGGGCTGGGGAAGGCCTCCTCCTTTTGCCAAGACTTGAAAAGAACCGGGGAAGGCCTCCACCTTTGAGGTTCTGTTTGCTTCTTGTTGATTTACGCTCGGACTCAGAAATGGACGTGGAAAACCACCACCTGTTTTGGTCTGCCATATTCCATGTAACCATGGATTGTTCCAGAGGGCATATATATTGAATTTCCCTCCTCATTTGGAAGTCCGAAGTTGGGAAGCTTCATTTTGGGCTCTGCTCTTCTTCCTCAGCTCAGTCTGAGGAAAAGATCTCCGCAGGGACCGAAAGAGCTTCATGAAAGAATTTCAGGACTTGGGTCGGTCGTGCGGAAGAAGGTGTTCCGCTTGCACCTCTTCTCACTTGGTCGCTCTGGGCTGAAATTGGTTCTTCATGCACGATTTCGTGGTCACTGCTGTAGACCAGTCCGGGGAATACACCACTGCACCACTCACATCTTTTGGCAGAACTCCGGCGAGCAACTGGTGATGTTCTTCTTGAAGCTGTGAACAGCTTTGGTTGGTGGACGTGGACCTATCTTTTGCCATCTTCCCAAGAGCGACGGATCTTCGGTCCACGAGCCACAGATCAAGAGAGTCCGTCCATGAACGGAAGTGGTGAGTCATGAACCTAAAATCATCTGCGACAAAATGGGACACTCCGAGTGGGACTCACACTATGGGAATCTATGGGACACTCATCCGAATATCTGCCTGTTCCTCATCTGCAAGAATCTGCAAGATATGGGACACTCCCCTGTTCCGTGGTTTATGCCTACATTCACCCCCCAAACCACCCCAATGTGGGCAAATATGCCAGTCCCATGGAGTGTTTGGGTATGGGACTCCCCTGTGGTCTTCGGTTGATCCGGGGCCGTTCCTAAAACCGCTCATCGCCGGAAGGAGAGCGACCGCATGGCGAATCTGGCGTGCCGCAAGGCCGAGGCGAAGCCTGGAGTGCAGGAGCATGGCGAAGCCTTTGAAATGACTCGCAATACTCGTAGGATTGGGAGTCCAATCATTGGAGCAATCAGGCTGAACTCCCTTCATGGATCTTCATGATTTACAAACATGTGGGTGGGTCAGGGCACTGAACTCGCCCCACAAAGGAACGCGATTTCGACCGAGACCAGGTATCATGGTGCCATGACAGGCTGAGGCGCCTAAGGTTCTGGGGGAATCATCGAGAAATTGACTGATTTGGGGTTGACCAGAAACATCCCCAACGCCGTTCGGTGTCAGAGGTGAAAACATTCCAAGAGCCATTCCAAAGTTCCGAACTGATTGAAACTCATGACGTCAACCAGTGGATCCATGATGGTTCATAGTCACCTCTTCTTCGCGGCAAAAGGGGGAGTTCCAGGGTGTTGCTTCACCCCATCTTGGGTCTTGCCGCTTGCTCCCAAAGCATGGCCCCTCCTTCGACCTTCCTCCTTGTCGCACGGGCTGACCAACAGGACGGCGACTTCATCGGAGGTGCTGACTTGAAGGCGGCCACAGCCCACCGCGTGAAGCCAACCAGTGAGTATCGGGTCACAGGGCCCCCGGGGCTGCATAGCAAAGTGCACTGAGGATCTCCAGACTTGGACCGAAAGCATTCTGCTCAACGCCGCTAGACATCGAGTTTCCATAGCCGAAGTCGGTTCCAGGCGGTTCCAGGATTTTGCCCCTTTGGTGGAACCTTTCGAAATGACAGTATCACCGGGGAGCACATGGGAGCACATGCTTGAATGCCTCTCAGAAGGTTTAGTTCTCAATGGTAAGGCTGTTTGGCTGCTGAGAACTTTAGTTGGATGGTGTCATTTGGCTATTCAGTGGTACTTTCTGGACTTGGAGGAAGGCATTGCGTGAGCACTTGCTCCTCACGGCATGAGATATCCACTGTACCATTCCAATACGGGGGGGGGCAAGAGTCCACCTGGGCCCCAAGAGTCCACCCTAGCTGCTAGGGGAGTCTTTCCAACATCAGCTGACTGCTATACCTCCCCCCCGGCCCGCGGCCCTAGCGGCCCTAGCAAGCGGCAGCGAAAAAACACAAGAAAGGAAAAACGGCTATACAGCGTCAGGTGATGAGCCAGGAATTTTGCCAGAACCCATTGGTTTTCCTAAGGATGTTTGCACTACAAAACGAGATCAACCCATTGGGCAACTTTTGGGGCACTGAAGGTCCGAGCTACGTACTACGCAGCGAAGTTGGACGCCACGCTGCTTCTCATGTGAAGACTCCTATCTGCTTCACTGGAGCTACCTGGAGTCCATAGTTTCTATTTGACGGTCCAGTCAAGGGATGCTTCTCTAGCAGAAGAACTCCAGGCTGGAACCAGTGATGGTCCTCTAGCTAACTGGCTAATGGGTTCTGTTACAGGTCTAGCTGGGTCCTCTCATCTTCCATGGCCGCCATCAGCTTTCAGAACTGCCTGACTGTGTGTCGGGTGGCGGTGGCTGACCCGCGCAGATGCCATCAGTTTTGGTGTCCAGCCACAGATGCCATCCACAAGGGATGGTGCTGGACCAAGCAGTGGGAGTGGATCCAAAAGTATGGGCTGAAGGTGAATTGGATCCATGTCGTCCTTTTGCTGATGGCAAACATTGAAGGCGTCGCATCCATCGAGATCCGAATGTTCCCATGGATTTGAGGCTGAACAGTTCGCATCAACAGTTCGGCTGAACAGAAAACCGTGTTTTTTGTTTGTATCCTTACACTCCTAGGTGAACTCACGTGGGCCCGGGTCGAACGGCACCCTGAAGTCGACTGTTTTCCTCTAGCTCCACCAGTGGTTTTCAGGGTCCAGGGAATCGTTGGAAAAGCGGGGTACAGATACTTGCTGATGGTGCTACATTCTTTTGGATCAGATACTCGCTGCGGTAGACTCTTAGTGTTCAAGAATTTGAGGCCGCGGCCGATGTGAAACAGACGAGCGAAACGAGACATGCCGAGTTGGACAAAAAGGGCACGGCAGCTCGACGAAGCAGCTCAGCAGCAGTTCTTGACCAGATGCTATACCTCTTCCTGGTATTTGTAGCAGTGCTAAATACCCAAAATGGGTCATGTATCTCAATTATGGGAGGCCGTTTGGAGGCGTCCTCGCCCCAAACCCTGCCCTGCTGGCAGGTTGCTTCCTTCGATCTTCCGTCTCGATCCCCTTAACACCACCCACGTGGCGCTGGTCTCTCAACTGGGTCGCTCTCTCCGTCTGGCCGTCTGGCCGTGGCCGTGCAGGACACCTTGAAGGGCGGAGCCAAGAAGCCGGAATTAGCCAAGTGCCCTGGCCGCGGCTGCGCTCGCACGCGCGTCTCTGCGGGACTCAGCGGGGAGCCAGGGCGGGAGGGCTGCGGCTAGGCTGCGATGATAGGGGTATGCCACGGTGGTCGTTGTGGGTTGGTGGTTTAGGTGCGGGACGGGGGTAGACGGATCTGGCTCCTTTTCATCGGTGGCCGGGTGTCTGGGGTTCTTCTCGACTGCCCAAGCTCTCGGAAATGCTCGAGCTCGAGCTGTGCCTCCTGCCATGCAAGGTATGCCATGGGGTTAAACATGGTTAAACGCTTCAGCATGTTTCGAGTGTCAATTGGTTTGGGAAATAGTATAACATGTTGATGTGTGTCTGTTGAAGCTTCAAGCTGACACCAGGGGCCCTTCCAATAAACCATGTTCATTCTTCGGTTCAAGCATACAGATGGTGAATTCCACCAAATGGCAGCGACCTGCTCTCCCTCTCTGCTCTCAGGCAAGTATGCTGTTCCCCCACATCTCTTGATGTTCCTGGTCCTTCATCCTTCCGACCCTTCAACCTGCCGACCCCACCCGAGACAAATAAGATTTGAACAGGTACTGGTCCAAAGACACAGCAGCAGAGCTGTGTTTCCTTTGACGCCACCACCCCAAACAACCAGAAAACCTCTCAAATGGCGCGAGGACGGCTGAACGCCGACCCGACGCAAGCTTCAGACCCCTTCGGACCTGAGGCTCCTTTGCGACAACAGCGCCGATGATGTGGACGCTCGGCCGATCCTGGCCCAGCCGAGAGCGCTCCTACATGCTGATCGATCTGAGTGCCATGTTTTATTTTTCCAGAAGAGGCCCTCCTTGGGTGCTGTTTGAGGTCTCTTCCGGTGGCTTGTTCCCTTTCTTTGATTTCTTCGGGAATCATGACCAAATCCCCGATGACTCCGGCTGATTGGAACGAACGATTCGAACGACATCTCCTCGATCCAGAAGAGGATGGTCCAGGGCAGCCTTGGTCCAGGAAGTGTCAGACTAGGTGACTAGCTCTTTAGTTCTGCAGGATAGGCAGGGTGCACCCGACTCTATAGATTCTATATGGGTTATACAGTACATGGTTATACAACGTTGAAGCTACACCGGTTCAACATATTTCAGGGTTCCCAGTTCATGCATATAGTTGTAGCCCCCTTAGTGTTTTTGCAAGTTGATTTCCAGAGGTGCCTATTTTTTATCCTTATTTGCAAGATTCTTTCACGGGCCAACTCAGGCAGCAACCTTTGGCTGGCGAGAGCATGCCAAGATCTACTTTTCTTGGTGAACATGTGCAATCCCGAGCCCCAAAGTATAGAAAGTCAGTCCCCAAGTCGATCGAATTTGGAACCATCACATCCCGTCTTTAACACATTCCTTCAACTTTGTTGCAGTTGAACTGCCAAGGGATCGAAGACTAGACATCCCAACCCCAGCTCTCCTGGATGTTCCATCCCATTCACGGTCTCCTCTGCCTGTATTCACAGCTGTTCAGACCAAGCCGCGTGGCTGGGCGCGGAGCCCCGGGCACCAACGCCGGGTTCGCACAAAAGGTGCGCCGATGCTGCCATGCTCGCATCCACGCGCTCCAGCCGCGAATGCTGCGTGTACAGCGCCTGCCCGAACAGCGAGAGCGAGGACGAGAGTTCCGAAGGACCTTTCAAAGAAGAGGTGGGGGGGTGGCGTCTTTCCTGGATTTTGGATTGGGTCTTTAGATGGGGTGAAGGGGGTGATGGGGTGAGTCAATGCATGAAGCTTGGTATTTGGAAGCTCCAAACAATGAGTGGGACAAATCCACGGCTCCAGGCCTTCAGAAGCTCTCCGAGTCAGTCTCCCGCTCTCCAGGTCAGTCGGCCAGACAGTACCTTCACCAAGGGCGAGCGGCCCGAGAACTTGGATTCGCAGGTCCGTTTTGAAGAGGACATGCCGCTGGGATCGGTCTCGACTCGAGTGGAGGTCGACCTGTGGGGCCAAAGAACAGGGTCGACCTGACGTGGTTCGGAGGTGTGACGATGGGTGTTCCAGGGTCGTCTAAGGATCCGAAGGATGGAGATACTTGGAGCCCTAGGGGCGCATGTGTTTGCGCCATGGGCGGCGCCATGGCATTTAGACTCTAGTCGTACGAGTCGATCAAGTACGTGTCGTTGGTGGTGGCTGGAGGGAGTGATACAGGTGAAGTTTCCGCGCGGACTGGCGCCTCCACAGGTCATGAGCGTTCTGAAGAACGCTGAAGAAGGTGGTGTCACACTTACTGTAACGATCCTTTCTTCAGTGCTCGGGGATGCAGACATATCGGGTTTTGGTCCTTTCGAATCACATCCAGACCGCACAGGACCGGACGGACCGGACGGCAGAGACACTGAGGTACGATGCGGTCACCGTGGCTGCTTTCGGTGGAGTGGTCTTGCAGCTGCCCAGTGGGTGCATCAAAGTGCATCCGGCGCCACGGTCGAAGTCGAGAGCTGCTTTCCGGACGGTGAGATCTGGTCGAGAGTGTGCGATCGATTGGTTTGGTTCCGGGGGGAGGTGACTAATGATCTGTATAGCAGAGAATGTAGCAGAGCCGGCATGGTTTGGTGTAGCAGAGCCGCTTGCCGACACATGCGAGCTCAGGCTCGCTATGCCAAGGACGACGCCCGTTCTTCGCGTTGCGTCGTCACTTCTTCACGCGGGCGTCGTTCCCGCTTCCGGGCCGTTCGTTCAGGGCTCTGTGTGGGTCGTCCGAGGTGTTCATGTTCGTGCTTTGTGTGCCGCTCTTCATGTCCCAGCAAGCTGCCCTGCTCTACCTCCGGCTGGGCCAGGCTTTGGGTCACCACGCGCGTTGTTCGGGCGAACTGGGTCACGCCCCGAAGCTCGCGTTCGGGGTATATATATATATATACCAGGGAATCCAAATGTGCATTTTTTTTTGTTCAAACACGTTCGCACAAAAAATCCATGCATCCGGCCTTTTTTGTCAAATGGACAAATTTTCTGGAATTCCTCCAAATATTGGGTTTGATTGGGTTTTATCAATATATTTTTTTGGGTTTTTGTCGATAAAATGTTGATAAAGTTTGGGTTTCATATGGGTACGCTTTTGTACGGTATTGTTTTTCTGTCCATACGGCTAAATACGCTAATTCGTTAATTAAATGTCCATACGATAAATTCTGTCCAAATACGGCCTTCGCACAAAAAAAAGTGTTCATACGCCTTTCCAGGTATATATATGTGGTGGGGAGTAGGTATTTTTGATAGTATAACTATTTGCATATAGATAGGGAAACATCTCGATACTCGGCCCCTTCATTCATCTGGAACTAGACATCCTTATTGCCTTACGCATCCGGATCCAGGCACCTTTTCACTCGTGGGGCGACCGTCCTGAAACGAGAGAACTTTCCGGTTAAACGGCTTCTGTTCTCTCGTTGCGTCGGAAACCTATAGAGACCTACCAGCATCCGACTTCACAGGTGTTTCCTGGTGACAACAGGTGCCCAGAAACCACCTGTTAGTGTCCCAAAACAGCCTGGCCAGGAGGGTCCTGGTATAGGGGCCAAGGTAGTCGACGGAGACCGCTCTGATCGCAGTGTCTGAAGACACCGCTCACTCGTTGGGAACCAGTACTTCCATCGCTCCCTGCTGTCCGGCGCTCTGCTTGATGGAGCCAGTTAACACCTCGATTTGGCAGGATGTTCTACTTGTGATTATGTTGACTTGGTTGGTGGGCCAACTTTTCAGATTCCATGGTGAATGAACATATTATGTTGGATATGCCCCACCCATCCCCACCCGCCCGCACGACGACCTTGATCCAAAAGGGAAAGTGAAGGAGAATTTGGAACATTTGGAACGCATCGGACCCGACTCAACATGTTGTTCTTTTTGATCTCTCTTTGATTCTCTTTTGACATCATCCAATGAAATCCAACATCAACTCCACCCAGTTCCAGCCCCGCAAGGTTCCCGGGGGCTCCGGAGCGCACCTTCCAAAGCGCCGCGCACGAACCCGTTGTTCGTCCTTTCTTCGCTGTGGGTTTTCAGGACTTGGACGCGCCGGTGCACGGCGAGGGCGTGGAAGGGGAGCTGCAGCTGATTTTGCCCTTCGCCAAGGCGCGGCACGTGGGGCCCGCGACCCTGAGAACGGCCGGTAGAGTTCGGTGGGGCGCTGCCTGGGAAGCGTAGGGTGCCCAGCAGAGCACTGGAGACTGGAGAGGCGACTGGAGGGTCGGACCGACGTCTAGCTTGGGTCTAGTTCGATCATCCGACGTCCGTGGATCTCTTACATCCTGGCTTTTAGCTTGAGGAAAGATACTTAGATGATACTTGTAAGGAGGGGGAAGGGATACCAGCCTCTTAGACCAGTCGGTCCTGAATCCTTTGGGGTCGACGGGGTCTCAAATCCGGTAGGGCGGGACTTCACAGACCGGTTCTGGGCTGCGACCGGAGTCCCTTCCGCCGCGGGGCGGGATGGGGTGGCAGGTCTTAATGATCTACACCTTGGCCTTGATGCTCTTCCCTGAGCTGCTGGGCGCGCTGCGGCTCATGATGTTCCTGGCGAACCCCACCACCTGGACGGACATCCGGCGGATCGATCCCGCCACCAAGGAGAGGCGGCGGAGCGAATCGCCTGCGCTTGAAACGAACGGCAGGGTCGACGAGGGAAAGGGTGAGGACGAAGGTTTGGAGGTAGCCCGAGAAACCTGCGAAAAGTAGAGCAGTAAAGAGCTTGAAAGAGGGATAGACTCATAGGAAGGCACTGATGCAAAGATGATCTTGGGCCAAGTGCAGAACCTACAAGTTCCAGATCTAGTTTGCATCCCCTAGACTTCCAAGACCATTAAAAACATGGTTGACCTGGTGTTTGTAGTGTAAAACTGTAAAATCCTTAGTTGATTCGGGATTCAGCCTGTTAAATGAATGGTGGGCCAGGAAACCTAGGGATCCATCCTTTGGTTGCCAGAAGTCTTGCACAGATTGGAATGAACCTCGGTTTCTCGGGCAGTTGAACTGAACTTTCTTCCAGGAGTCACAGAGCCCGGGGTGGTGTGGTGTTTAGTCCCATCCAGTGAGTGGATGTTCTAGGCACCCCGACTTCCTCCATGGATAGCACACCGTCGAACGTGACTGCCGGTTCTTTGACTTTCCTTGTACTGAAACGGGTCATCCGGAAGAAAGCCCCATGAATGCACGGCACATCACTGTCCCACAGCCAGAATAAGAGACCTCCAGGGTCTCCAGTGTTCTGATCTTGGGATTCAGGTGCGACACCACTTTGGGTCAAATGGTGCCACAACAAAGCCTGGTGAATCCCAGTGATTGTAGAGACGCAGACATGCAGCTTGTGCCTCAAAGATGCACCCTCCCTGAAACAATCCTGGAAGTAGAAAACAACCTGTTTGTAGAGGAAAACTAACTGCCTTCCTTGCAGGGCCATGTTCCACTTCCATGTTTGTTGGATGGAGTATGGACATGAGTCCCCCAGAAGCTCCCCTCGAGAGGGCGGTCTAGGGGAGTTCAAGATGCCGCAAAGGAATGTGATCTTTAGTGAGTTGGGACCTCCCAATGTACTCGTACCTCAAGTGGATCGCAGTGAGGTGCAGGAAGATCTGTTGGAAGATCTGTTGGACATGCGACGCTGGATCTCTTTGTAGGGAACCACTGTGCCAGCCTCGCATGAACATCATCCTCTCACGGCTCCATGGAGCGACAGCGGACCTAGCAGGAGTTCCTCCCATGGATTTGGTATCCCTGCTGCTGCTTGGCAACGATTCCGCGCCAAGATCGGGTGTGGCAAGGATCCTCCTTCGATCCTTCAGAGTGTCGTTCCTTTAGTGCCGTGGGTGGGAGAACTCTGGCATGTTTGACCCAAGGAGGCAGCTGCGAGAGGAAGAGGAAGGGAAGGTTCGGACACCATTCAGCTTGTGACTTGCTCGGCTACTCTTGGACAATCTCCTGCACCACCTGACCTGCACAGGACTCAGATAGATTCGGACACCACTGCTTCCTCTCCACAGCAGGGATTTCCATGGTAACCCCGGTCTTCCCTACGTTTCTTGAAACTGCGAGGTCCCTCCATCAAAACACTGGGTCTCGGTGTGGGCCTGACTTGCGAGATGGTAACCTGTTGAATCCCAGGAGGTTTCCCCTGAAAGGAGTGTTTTCTCCCTATCGCTTTGGGCAAATACTACCATTTGCAGGATTACATTGGAGGATGCCCGTCGTTTCACTTGCAGTTTCCGTGCGATCAGCACGTCCGCGAGCGCGATCAGCGTCCGCGAGCGCGATCAGCGCATTCCAGGCCTGGCACCGGTGGGTTTCGCCAGCGAGATGCTCAAGTTCTGCGCCGCTCGACCCGAGTGCGGTCGAGAGTGTTTCGGGCGGAAAGGTGGTTTCGCGCGGAAAGGTGGGCGACCTCCTTGATTCGGGCTTTTTCCAAAGGTGTGTCTCGGTGCCTCCTGGACAAAACCAAGATGCTTTTTTGGGACGCGCAACTTGCAGCTTCGACATTTTGTCTTCGTGTGCACGTTCGTGGCGCGTCTGCACCATGTAATAGCTAAGGACATGTCGCAAAGCATGTTCAGAGGGTGTTTGAGCGATTCGAAGAGGATTTGGTTCTCAACGTCGCTGCACCGCCCCCGCTCTCATCGGTAGGTTTCGAGTTCGGTGAGGGACGTTCGACGTTCGACGTGCGACGTGGCGGTGCGACGTGGCGAACGGTGGGGATCGTGCCCCAAAGGTGATCCGGTTTCTGGGAGAGGGGCTTGCAGTTGATGCCTTACTGATGGAGTCCACTAGTGGCGAATCTGCACAGTCTTGGATCCTGTTCGCCCAATGGAAGTGCTCTCAGACCCCAGTCACTGTATGGGACTGGCAGATTTTCTCATCAGTTCGGGTTTTTTGGAATGTCATGAGGAATGTAACGGCACGTATCATATTTTACTTATATTTATAGATATTTTCATTCATGGAGTGTTTGGGTACTGCCATGTCAATGTGCCTTCCAAGACATCTGACATCCGAACTTTTGACATGTTTTACTCTCTTCTTCTATAAACTCGACGCTGAAGAAATCTGAATTTCTGTACCAGGACCCACCTGGCCAGGCTGTTTTGGGACACCTGTTAGTGTGGTTTCTGGGCACCTGTTGTCACCAGGAAACACCTGTTGGAGGGTGCTGGTAGATATTTGCTTGCAGGTCTCTCCATTGGTGTCCCCCGCCACGCTGTCAACGAGGTGGGCTACATAGTCCTAGTAGACTCTGTCAGCATCGTGCTGGTCTGCCGGTCAGTGCACGTGTCCTGGTCTGGAGGTGAAACAAACAGCATGGCACCTGGTGGTGGGTTTGGGGGTAGGCTACATCAAGATGGCCTTTCACCGCCTTGCTTGGTTGCTTCATTGATGGGATATCCCGAAGTGGCACCTGGCACTGACCCCTTCGATTCTTGCCGAGGTCGAATATCATGGTGTGTAATGTAGACTCTTGATTGATACCCCCCATTTGAACTGGACATCCATGGAAAGTTTATTCATCAAGATTCATCAAGAGTCTACATTTACTTGGAGAAAACCAGGTGTTTGATGTTTTTTTTTTTTCTGGGGACCCTGGTAGCTGTGTGCGGTGATGCGGTGGATCAAAGGAGAAGACGTGACTCCTCAGACGGCCCAAAGGAATCCGGGAATCCGGGCACGCGCGGGGTTCAACACTACACTCCATGGGACTGGAATATATGCCGCCCCATTGACCACCCCCCTGGCACCACCCCAATGTATGCCAAAACATGGCAGTCCGGGTTCGTCGCGTCTGGGTATGGCGTCGTGTTGGGTCGTGGTCGCTGCGTCGTCGTTTTTGGGTCGGACCCTCTAAGCATCTAAAAGGGCTGGGAGTCGGACCCTGGGCACAAGCGGGACTGGCACGTGTTGCATCGCCTGCGCGGCTGACCTGAACCACAGAGATATGACCTGACGGCAGCGGTGTGGTGGTTCTGGAGTTGGTTCTTGTGAGATGAGACCAGCGGTTGGTTGGATCCTATTTAATGACGTCATACTCATGACGTCGCAGTCAATGTAGATAGGGTAATGTAGACTCTTGATGAATAACTGCCCCCATTTTGATTGTAAGACCTTTGCATATGGGGGCTTGAAATATGATCAAGGGTCTGCAGTACAAGAATTTCCCACAAATTGCTCATGTTCGATGTCTATTTGTGGTCATTGCTGGGACATGTTCTACATTCTGCACCAGTCTACACTGTGTAGAGTCGCTTTCTATTTGTTGATGGAATCTGCAGAAGCACTGCAGGCAGAGCGAGAGAGAGAGAGAGACACACACACACACACACACGCACGCACCCACACACACACACACACCCGCGCGTGCGCGCGTGTACAGTCGTGGTATAGCTTAGGGTGTGATGGCGAGAGTGTGTTCTTCCAAAGTTCTTCTTTTTCGGATTTCTTCTATACCCTGATTCTTCATTTCGTGACCGAACTTGATCCCCCTGGTTTGAGGTCACGTATATATAATAGGCACAAACAGAGACTCCAAAACAGGTCACGAACTGAAGAAGTTGAACCATTTATTTGCATCCGTTGTGCAGGGTATTTACACAACGCCGTTGTGTCGGCCGCACTCAGGATGCCATCTTCAATTCCTTAGCTCTCACCTTCCTAATCGAGTTGGACAATAAGCTTTGGGAGGTCGCCAAAAGCGTCTTTCACCTCTCGTTGGGAGCCCCAGCTCTCCCGGCAGAGACCTGGGTGGTTTTGAGTAGCGAAGACCTGGCTGAAGAGCATTCTGTGGCTGGTGTTTTGCAGATTCAACCGCTACACCTTGAAGAGGGTTTCCTATAATTAGAGACAACCGCAGAAAATATGTTTATTATATTGTTTCTATTATTTTCTTTTGAATTTTGCATTATCGGGCTATCTTGAGGGTTCCTGGTAATTTGAGTTGGCTGAAGACATCCCAGCAACTGAGAAAAGAAAGAGCCGCTGCTGATTCCTGTTCAGACTGCAGATACTTTGGTGATCTTTGAGACAGCAGCAAAAAACGTCTCCAAAGCGAGGAACCTATATAACTATATATATATATTACATAATGAAACCTGAAACATTGGTTTTTGAATGCGAGGTACCCTCCCTGGAGTCATGGGCCAACGTGGATGGCATGGCCCCGATTGACCATGAAATCAATATGGAATGCGAAGACCAAACAAGTGCCAGCCCCTTAGAGGTCAAGGGGTGTCCATTAACAACCCCTTGTGGGTCCAGGTGGTTTTCCATGATTCTAGGACATGGACAGATCGAGTAACAGGGAGGGCAGGCTGTTGAGTCGGACGCCTGGCGGTGTTCGAACCAGTTCTTTGGATTCCGATAGACCCTGATAACTGATAATTCCAGATAGACATGTCTCTTTCCACCAAGATCTGTCGGTTTTTTCCCTGCAAAGTCCATTGATTCTTGCCATGGTGCGCTATCCTTAGACAGGGCCACTGTAGGAGTTTCCCGCATGAGACTCGTCCTCCGATGTCACAACTGCTCTACGGGAGCTGCTCGTAGGTTCAGCACGGAGAAGTTCTATCTCCGTCCCCGTGAGGAGCGCGAACAGGCGTCACGCTCCTCGGAGTCCCAAAAACGTGTTGGGGGCGTTTTGGGGGCGAGCTTTCCGCGACGAAATCGGACCGGTTCCCAAACCCATGGGAGCTGGAAGAGTTACATACATTTTATGAGCTAATCATCCCTCCAAGGGTATTTATCCCTCATCATCCCTAATCCATGAGCCGAATCAGACATGTATGAGCCGAACTTTTTGGTGCTTATGGATGAACCTCTTGCTTTGCGTCCATTCTTCGCGCGCCGTTACTGTATGACCCCGTCGGACGTCGGGGCAGGCGACGAAGGGTCCGCACCCGTCGTGCCACGGTCCTAGGGGGACTGGCGTATTTAACAAATGTCACTACCAGGACCTGGGTGTTGGAGATCTGGGTGTTGGAGCATCCAGGACCTTGGTGTTTTATGTGTCTGGAGATCACTGGTGTTCTGTGTGAGGTAATTAGTCTATAGTCCAACCACACCTAGACAGCATGGTCCGTACATTGGGGTGATTAAAAGGACCAATGGGGGCGGCATGTTTTATTCCAGCCCCATACAGGTCGAATCTGGGTGTCTGGGTGTTTGTCCAGGTACCTCCATGAAGAGAGAGACCTTTCTGACGTCCAAAAACCTCGTTCGACCATCTGAAAAGGAAGGTATGTAGACCCCTACCAGAGCCCCCTAAGGTTAAAGGTAATGGATACCCCTTAACCTCTAATGAGCTATGAGCTACCATTAGACACCCCTTAAGGAGGCCCTAGCTGGTATGGGTGTTTCACCGCATAGCACTGGGGTGTCCTTTCATCGCTCCGAGGTGAAGCCTTCTTGCAGTTCCCTGAGGGCTGTTGGCTTCATCGAACCAATGGTGCTTCAGTCCCCTGGCCATTTCGAGTACGCACAACACGACACGACACACACGACACACGGCACGACACATGACACACATGACATGGGGGATCATGGGGGGAGAGGCCACGAGTGCACGGACGAAACAGCACTAGTCACTAGTGGAATTCACGATGTTTGAACAGTAGTGACTGCTTAACACACGTCACTCGTACAGTATTTGTTTGTTTGTTTTTTCTCGCTCTTCTGCCACGGTGAAGAAGTCCACATGAACCAGCACCTTTGATTCGGGGGTCTCCAAGACTTCGACCTAAATGACTCGTGGATCTCCTCTTTCACACCCCTTTTTTCAGCCACAGACACGGCTCTGGACGACACAGGTCACCAGGTCTTTTCTCGTCTACATCCAACGTCCGGGGGGAAGTCAGATTCCTCGCTCGCCGATGAGGCCCTGGAAGCGTGTTTGACCTCCACAGTCTTCATGTTCTGCTACTGCCGGCAGTTCCTCATCACGGAGTATTCATTGAGGACAGTGATACGACTGTGGGTCAAACCCAAGGGAGGTGTCATAGCCATACAATACATCTGAAACATGTGACGTCATTCCTGTCGACATGCGTTTGTTGGATTGTGGCGGCTGATCGGACTATGGGAGATGTACTGATCTTAAATCTTACGTAAGATCCAAATTGTGAAGCACAAACTTAAACACAAACCCTCAATGTATCTTGCTTTGAGACGTGTTCCATCGTATACCTGTGTCTCTCTAATTACTTGAGGATTACTATAGCTCTTTATTGAGTGGGGTTCCTCTTTTTTTTACGAATAAACCTGCTTTCTAAGATGAGCCAGACTTCATCAGGGCCCTCGGCAGAGAGGAGTCACACGTGCTGTTTCAAGATTATCCCTAGGGTTCCAAGTACCTCCTGAGAAACTATTTGGACCCTCCAAACCCTTCCCAAACACCTTCTAAGAAGGTACTTGGAGCCCTAGGGTATGGAATGGGACCCCGCCCAAAAGACCTCAGCAGAACACCACGAGCAGAAAGGATCTCTCGTCATCGAGCTCTGCAGATCAGACCCAGAGCATCCACGGGAACGAGTTCCAAACCGGAGGAAGATGTTGATCATATCTATCCCGTCGACACGACCTGTCTGGGACTGGCAGTCCGTAATCCCGATCAGGGCAAGGGGTGGTGCCAGAGGGGTCTGGCTTGATCGGCAGTCCGAACTGACAGTCCCATGACAGGTCGTGTCTGAGAGTATGATCTTTTCCCGTTTTCTTCGCTGCCAAATCCAAGTCATCTACGTGGCGTATCGTGGCGTAACTCTCGGATCCAGTCCCTTCCACGTAGATCCCTGCGGATCCGCTTCAGCTCGACCGCACCGGCACCGGTCTCGAGCACCAGCATCCCACGTAGATCCCTGACGTGTGCCGGTCTCGAGCACCGGCACCGGCTGGTCTTCGGCACCCCCCACAAGGTCGCACATAGGCCCCTGCCGAGGTCTCCAAGAGAAGAGATCCACCCGTCAGCTGCTTCACGTGCTTTTTTGGTGAAGAAAGCTCTTTTCGTTTGGAAGAGATCGTGAGCGACCAAACGTGGCACTTGCTATCCACGTGCCACCAAGATCTAGGATCAGGTTTATTTTTTTTTCGGCTTTTGTGGCCTTTGAGTGATTAGATGGGCCCGCCGCCCGCCTTTTGCTTCAGTTGGAGCGCAGGACGGACACGCTGCCGATGGCGCGCGATATGTGCACCTTATGGGAGCTCACGGAAGAGGACAGTGGCCTTGGATCAATGAGCTGTCCCAGACCATGAATGGGATTCAAATATATGCTAGGTATATTACATTCTAGTAGCCAATGGCCTGACCCCTAGCCTAATGGTCACTAGCTGTAACAATTCCAGTGCGGATGGGTGTGGTGATGTGGTAATTGAATCTAAAGTGTACAGACTCTCTTCTTCCAGAGCGGTTCTTCTTTTTGGGTCCATCTCAGTGGGATGAAACGACCAATTGGGTTCCATTGAGCAGGACCCACAAGGCCAATAGAGATGGACGACAGGCACGGGACCCACAGCGCCCCTTTGGACTTTGACCTGAACCCCGGATGAAATCAGATCCTCTTCAAATGGTGAGATCACCATTTATTGAAGCCAAGAGGTTGCCACAGACCTTGCTATTCATTTCTATTCTGGATGCCATTTCGGAGCAAAGCCTACTTGGTGGCCTGTAGGACCTCACTTCCCACAGGATTTCCAGGCCAAACCCTCACTGCGAAGGCCAAACCTTCCGTTTCGAAGGCCTCAAAAGGCCTACGCGTCCGCCAAAACCACCGCGAGCGGAGCGAGGTCCCACGGCGCCGCGACTCAGGTTGGATCGGTCAACTGACGCGGAGCACCTTGAGGCGCCGTACCGTACTAGGAGCAAGGACGCTACTAGGGGCTCCTGGCGTCGTCGTTGGAAGCGGTGGACGGCGATGCGATGACGGCGGCACTCCGGCCGGACGCCTGAAAGATCCCCCCGGATTGGGTGAGGGGCTGGTTGGATCGTGGCTGTTGGGCTTAGTGATCTGTTCCTTTTGATGTATTGGCTCATCACTGGACTGTAATGATTTAGGCTGCGGCTTCGATATAGAAGTTATTCATGATGTGCGGCACTTGCAGGGAGATCGTGGGAGATCTACAAAAAAAGAAGGATATTGGGTGGAAGCATCCTTATCCCGGGAGTGTCGGAGTGTTAAGATGAGAATGAGTGTGAATCTGGTGATACGTTGCAGGAGGGCACAATGCCCAGTTCGTTTGGATTTCGATAGAGATGCAAAGGGATGCTTGCTCCAGGTGCTCAAGGAGGTATTGGTGGAGTGCTCCAATAATTCACAGATCAGCCGCCCCCTTACAACGGCACTTCTAATATTATCGCCCGGTTGGCGGCATGGCCATCTTTGCAGGCTCTTCAGCCTGAATGTCCACCCCAACGACATGCTGCAGCGCGTGTGTAACCCTGAGAACGGCGGCTACTGCTCGCCCAAGTATCGCAGGACACCGCCGACCGACACCGTGGCGAGGTGACTCTATTGTATAGAACGGCATTGTCTTCATGGAAGGGCAGTCAACATGTGTTGTTTGTAGCTATCTGTTTGGACAACACTAAATTAATCTAAAGTCATAATCTAGAATCTAGAAGATCCTTTCAGCCAAAACAATCCCCAACAGGTACTCTTGGTATGTCATGGTATGTCTATATATATTGGCCTTCGCGGTGTCTCTTCTTCGATGTCAGGATCCACTTTTCAGACATGGTGGAACTGACGAACGAGAAGCCCATTGCGACGATCTCCAACATGGCGCGGCTACGGGGGGGAACAGGATCGGCGAAATCGTGCACTTTGGACCATGGCGATCCTGTTTTTGTACTAACAAGAAGCTACTAGCACCTCCTGGCCTTACTACTAGGAGCAAGGACGCCACGAACGGGGCTCCTGGCATCGCTACGAACGGAGCATTCTTGCTTCTAGAAACAAGAAGCTATGTGTGGCGATCCAACTTCCGTGTGGCCTGGATTTCTTTTTTCTTCGATGCGCAGTGGGGGCATTTTTGGGGGCACAAGAAATTCACCCGTTATTTTTAGGGTTGTTGATCAGCCAGCCAGGCTCTTTCGCATGCGCTCTTTCTCGAAACCAATGTTTTGCCACTACCATGCATGAAAGCCTTCTTGGCCAGCTCCAGTTTATTCTATATTATATTGAGTTCAAGATTGTCTTTCTTTGCAGCCCAGCTACTGAACCTGAGTCTTCAAAATCCAAGATCCCAAGGTTGCATTGGTTGTTTTAGGATTTGTTGTTGTTCTTCGCACTTACGAACATCCTTCACATGAACGTACTGGATCACGAGATTGCGAACCTCTCGACCCACCCGGAAGCTCGGCGCTTCTTCCCTTCCGTCCGCACCGTCCGCTGAGCCGACCGACCTTAGAGCTCGGCAGGTGACCTTCGCCGTGGTGCTGCTGATCCCGCAGATCTTCCAGCTCGCCCTCCACAAGGAGAACCGACCGGTGTCGCGACGATCCAACAAGGGCTCGACCAGCGAGCCGGTTTCTGTCGCTGGACCTCCAAACCAACACCGTATTGGGCTCCAGGCATGGAGAATCGATGCTCCTTTTTCGACGTGTGTTGGAAGTGATCCCTTTTCAACCCCCCCCTCCACTGTCCTGAGAGTTCGTCTTCAGAAGCCTCTGCTTTTTGATGCGACACCACGAAGCCTCGCGCGAAGCCTCGCGTTGTTCGACGGACGGCTCCCTTCGTTTGGTTCTCCTTCGGAGTCCGCGCAGAGCTTCACTCATTCTGAAACTCGAGGAGTTTGGTATCAAGTGCCTCGGCGGCTTTTTGCCGCAGCTGATCCCTGACAGCAGTGATCTCACCGCCGAGGATCACGAGGCGAGGGAGCGCGGGACTCTGAACACGGCAGATGACAGGACGTTTCTAAGGTTGAAATCGTCTTCCACAGCCGAATGGCAGTGGCTTGGACTGCACGGACTTCGCCTATTTAAAGGAAAACTTCTGAGGATGTGGTTATTGAGCGCTAGGCCGCTAGGCTTTGCCAAATGGCGGTGCTTCGGAAGTGGGTCAGTTCGTTGCAAAAAGAAAAGCTGCGAGCAGCGCCCTGAACATCCCGCCCTGGAAGGAGTTGAAGTCCCAACAGCTTGAAGAGGAGCTGGCCCACCAGCAGCAAATTTCTGCTCATGCGCAGGCGCGTTCATCCACGGCTCGCGCGTAGCTCGCATTGGGCTGATGGGATTCGCCTGGACGTTTGGGGTAAATCATACTAGCTACAGAATCAGACATGTTGCATGGTAGGTACAGGGTAGCGGGTTTGGATGGACTGACCCCACAAGCCTCAAATCTTAATTGTGTTTCTTCAGGGTACACTTGGCATGTCAATAAGGTGCTTCAGGAGTGATCTCAGACGTTTTTTTTGCGCTGGACGTTGACGAGTTGGTGGTTCGGAATACAGGCATCAAGTTTTTAGATGCTTTTAGTGAGTTCCTCACATTTGTGGCTTTGAGGCAGTTGTCACACTCTTGTCGCACTGGATATCTTAATCTTGAGACGCTCATCACGTCCTCCCCCACATGAGGATGGTGGTGGTGTGGTGACAATGGTGTGGGAATTGCTCTTGACTGATCCTTGGTGTCAGTCGCATGGGGATGTATATACTTGTACATGGAGGAACCACTATATAATCTACCAGGATGCTTCTTTGGCAACTGATTTACTTGGATGAGTCGAGCGGGAAAAGAACCATCCTCCTGTCTCTTGGCCAGGCAGAGACAGAGAAGCTAAGGCAGGAAGTGGAGAGGCACACAGATTTGTTGCTGGGTTTTTCACGACTGAGTCCACATGGTCATGTCATTTCATGATGTCATTTCAGAAACAAGTGGTACACCTCGGAGACTTGGCAGGTGGAGATGGGAAATTGAGAGGATCAAGAAGGATTTCCGGTCGGACCTCCAGTCTCCGGCCAAGTCGGGGACTGCCAGTCCGAACGCCATTCGCAATGGACCGGGCTGACCCGTTCAAGCGCGATCCGGTCGCAGAGCTGCAGAATCCTGCAGACCTCCCCGCGGATGAAAAGCGAAGATTGGAGCGGGAGAGTGGGAGAGTGGGAATTCCCAGGGTTGAAGATGGGGTTGAAGCATATGGACTCGATTACAAGATTTGAAGGCTGCAACATGGTGCAACCTAATTTTCGGTGCAGTCTCTATTCCAAGATCTTGAAGGTTTGGACGTTCTCCGCAGACGGTCTCAGACTGTCTCAGTTGCTCGGTTCACCCGCGTGGACACGACCCCTGGTCGTCACCCCAAGGACTGGCTGGTGGAGAAGTTCAACCTGGACCTGTCGCTGGTCGCCCGCTTGGGCGGCCATTCGCAACCGCGCACGCACCGAGGGAAGGAACGATTCCCAGGAATGACCATCACTTATGCGCTGATCCAGATGTTGGAGAAGGCGCAAGGATTTTTTCGTGATGCTTTTGGGGGGTGGATGAGAGAATGTGATGGAGCCAGGGGTGGTTTGAGGCAGGGGGTGCTCATGATCAGTTTCGGGATCGAACTCTTGGAGTTGCAGAGTCGAACTCTAGCCACTGAGTGGTGGAGATCTGGCTTAGAGACATGTGTTTGGCTGTGCACTATGTTGGGAGATTGGAGATAGAACCCCTTCAAACAACAGTCCAAAAGCCACATCACACTGTGTATAGATTGGGCCAAGACCTTGGATGGAAGTGTTCAAACCATTTGTACGGCGTGCAACCGTACCAATTACATGGCTCTTTCTTCCTGGTTCTCCCGAACGAGTTGTGACCGAAGCACTGATCCCCAGGTTGGTTCGGTCAAGGCTTTTTGTTGGCCAAGACCCTGGTCACAGGTCTAGGCACTCCACAGCCAGGTCTAGGCACTCTGAAGCTGAACCGATTCCTTGTCGTGGAAGAGTGATTCATCCTCCGCCGTTCGTTCGGCGGACGAAGAGGTCACTGCCGGCTGTCCACAGGTGGCAGAGAAGACGGACCTGGCGCGGATCATTACGAAGGACTGGGGACGAGGGAGGGAGCACGATTGGAACGACCTTGGAGCACTCTGCTACTTACACAGAGCCAACATTTGGGATGGATGTTGGGGATGTTTGTGTTCCATTCTTTTCTCATAGAAGTCGGCATTTTTCAGGGATGTACTTTTGAATCATGGCCGATAGTTGTCCTTACATGGTCACATGGTAGTCCCTTTGTAGCAGGGCAAAGGAGCTCCACCGAGGCCTCTTCAGGTCGCAAAGATTTCACTGTGCATTTTGTTCATGGTTGGCTTCACCGCGCCTGAGTCGTCACGGGGTGCTTGTGGGAAAAAACATATCCCAGCCACTCCATGAGACTGGTGGTTTGAGGGGTCAATGTAGGCATTCATATTATGACATACATGGAGTGTCTGGCTATGAGTGACCCAGCATCCGTGGCAGGCCAAGGTCTTCAAGCTCGTCACTGAGGGGAACGTGTGCGTCGGCTGTGTCTATGCGCCTTGGCACTCCCCGCACTGGCGCGGAGGGGCACGGAGTCGGTTCCGTCCGTGTTTTCCCACCAGTTTCAATGTTACACTCCGCAATTCGGTCCACATGGAACCTGAAAACCACTGGGTTGGTATTCGGACTTCCTCGTCTTCCGTGTGAATCTTCGGAGCACGGGGTGGCGACCAGCGCAGCACCTAGACATCGACACATGAGGTGTCCAAAAAAACCACCAGAACTCCGTTCTGCTCGCAATGTGTTTTGTGTAAATATGGTGTAGAGTTTAGCAAAGAAATGAACCAACCAACACCATCACCGGGTCGGGGTGGTCTCTTCTGAACCATACCCCCCCGGTGTCCTCTTCTGAATGGGTCGAATGGTCTCGTTTTGACATGCGACTCGGAGCGCCGTGGCGCGGGTGGCGAAGGTGTGGCGAGGCAAACCCGATTGGACAGCTGTGAAACCAGGAATGCCTGGAGATGCCTGGAGATGGGCTTCCCCGGAATGCCTTTCCACCATCTGAAAACCGCTATTCTCATGCGCACTATCTATATATACATATATAGTGGGATGTTCTTCCAGGTGTCTTGTCATTTGATGTAATTTGCATTTTGACCATTACAGGAAGAAAATGAGCAAGCCACTCGATGAGCTGCCACCAGCAACAACAAAAGCAGGAACATTCCTCCAGAAATAGGGTCAAGGGTCAAGGCGTCGAAGCAACGGCGTGTGCACGAATTCGCACCACGGTGCACTTGGGGTGGTGATCGGAGGGAACATCGGTTCATATAGGTGTCTCTAAACCACCCGAAGTCCTGCGTGCTGGGGATCCCGCTCGAAGTGATGTTTGTGCCTCGCCTGACTAGAGTTCAGTCGAGAAAAACGAGCAATGTCATCCAATATATACCCAAGAATCCACGCCATCAAAATCATCAAATGGACGCAAGGATTCTTAAGATTCTTAAGGAACAAATCTGGTCCAAGTGTTTAACCAATTGATCCAGCACTTGGATCGATTAGCCAGGAGAAGGGTGGTCAGAACTTCCAGGAGTTTGGCCCTGTGATCTTGGCCTCAGGCGCGTTTTTCTTTGCATGCACAGGCCCGTTAGCATATCAAGTGAAGAAAATGCATCTAATCTAAAGAAGTCAAATTCAGGAGCTATCCTGAACTGACCTTTTCCACCATGATACCGGGAAAATATCATGTCATATATACAGTGGACCTGTGTAAAAATGATTCTTGGGTGGCTCCATGGGGGGTACCCGTTTGACCTTCCTTTTGATAGGCAGGGGCAACAAACATATATCGTCGATCCTCCAAAACAGGGTTCACGCAGAAGCTACAAGGTCTTATACCTGGATCTTGCAACTGTGCAGAATTTCTACCTGCATGTTCATCTAACGGACGCCCAGTTCGCTGCAAATTCTGCAACGGTTGGAAGATGCATGCGGATCTGCATTTGTGGACCATCGAAACTGTCGCAACGGATCTGCGATGGGATGAGATTTTCGGCCTGTTTACAGGCGGAGAAAAGGTGGCCCGCTTTTCACTGTACTGTAATTATATGCATATAATTACTGTAGAGCCTGGGAGTTGTAGTTTCTGTTAATGTTTTCGGATGTTTATAATAGGCGACCCGAGAAAGGAATTTCCTTTACTTCGGGGGTGCCAAACGATCGTCGAACCGGACTTCTATCGGACTGCTTATGGTAGATGACTCCTGAGATTTGGATGCCCTGCGCCATCTCCCATCTGGGTGCTGCAAGCACAGGCGGCTTCGGGGCGGATTTCACCAGCAACTCCCTCCTGGCGCAATACCGACCCGATCTGCTGCACTTGCCCACCACCAACGGCCACTTGTCTCTGAAGTGAAAAAAAACACAGTGGGAAGCGGTCCAGGAGGTCCTAGGTGCTTGTTGGAGGGATTGGGGAGGAAGGGGAGATGTCTGCGGGCTTTCAGAGAATTAGCAGGCATGCAGGGAATCTTCCAGGGTGGATGCAGGGTCACAGTCCCGCCATCAGCAGGCTGAAGTTACAGAATCATCCCCTCAGACACTCCATAGTATGCGACAATTCCACACGTGGTCTAGCAATCTTTGGGATCTCATTCAATTAATAAAGTCGTCTAAGTCGTCTTTTTCCCGTTTCTCCATGCCACACCTGACAAAAAGTGCCATGCCACTAAGGTGAGCACTGCACCGGAGATGGCATCAAGATGGGAGTGGCTCGGAGCGTGAACAAGACGTCGTGCAGCTTTTGTCACGTCTTGACCTTCGTGGGAGATGAAGACGTCAAACGCTCCTATACTGACATACCCTGGGGCTCCAACAACAGCAGAAGAGGCTGACCCGAAAGAAGACCGGCCGCCACCCCCTGTTTCCTTCGAGTCCCGGAGAGATCGACGGATCAGAGGAGCCCCCCCTGGGATGGACGTGTTCCCCGAATCCTCCAAGAGCTCCGAATCCTCCCAGACCGAACACCATGGGATCTGGTGTTTGGATGTGTCGACTCTAGGGGATTCCCTACATGGTCCCTATAACGTTGGCAGTTCCTATAACGTTGGCAGTTGGCACCGCCACGAGATGGTCTTGGGAGAAGAACGAGACTAAGCCAAATGGTTTTAGTAGTGGAGTATGGTTTGTCTATAATTCGTGAGCATGAAGGAACCGGACCAAGAATCATCAAGAATCCTTCCCAATTTGAGGGTCCTGGATTGTGATCGGGGAACTTTATGGAAAAAAGAAGGTAGCAGGTAGCGGGCACCGTAATCGTCCCACATTCTTTTTTTGCATCAGGCTTCAAAGGAGTCATGTTTTTCTCAGTGTTTTTTTTGTGTTTTGTCTTGATGCACATCACCCAAAGTTGTGGTATATTCCTTCTTCGACGACGCTCCTGTGTCCTTCCACAGCGATCCTGTGTGGTTGCGACGCCATTGGAAGGCATGTGCATAAAGCTCAAGCTACTCATTCAAATCTTTCTGGCCATCTTTACAAGCCAGCTCTCTGGGCATGAACATCTTGAGGTCCCGCCACATTCGGTCGCATACTTGCGTCCCGGTCAATCGAGAACTTCTTTACAAATTGCCAAATTGCATATCCTTGTGAGACACACTCTTGTGACAATCTTTTGTTTACCACAGAGTGATTGCGAAAGCAGTTGTATAGCGTGCAACGCTTGTCATCACCCTGACCCCACCCCATGTTCTCGACACACATGCATGCAATCGAACGTGATTGGACATCACATGATGCAATCAAACCGTTCAAAAAACACACAAAAAGAAACACCACAAACAAAAAATATAACCACGGGACCGTTACCTGGACCCTCCAAGGGGTGTCCAATGGACTACCCCACACTACCGGCCTAGGCTTCCAGGTCCAGGGCACCCCGACAGGAGGGTCCAGGTGCAGAACCCGTTAGCAGAACCCAAACACCTCGGCCTCGCCTCTATGAGCTGCGTTGCCCGGTGTGCCCGCTTTTCACGAACGGATGTTCATCGGCTCTCCATGAAGGGTTTGCATTTTTTCATTGGGGCTTCTCTGTAAAGTAAGGGAGGAGAGCTCTGCCTCGGGGTTTGGAGAGCTCTCGACCCTGAGGATTTGGAAGAACGAAACCAACCCAAAACATAAAACGAAGCGCTCCTTAGAGGTTGATTGCAATGCATTTTGCAAAAACACACACTTCGACCAGGTTCATGCAGTAATCCATAGTGTAGCTAGGTTGGTGATCTCGCGCCTTGACCCCCTGCTCTGAAAGACCCTTGGTTACAGGGTGGGACACACACACACACACACACTCCCTTTTAAACCTGCACCCCATCGACCAACAGGAAGCGATCGGTGCGAAGACCATCGACCTCGAGTGGGTCCAGGCGACACGTCCGGAACGGCGGGACTGCCGCCCCAGAAAGACCCCTGAAATCAACCACACCAATGTATGGATGCCAGTCCCATGGAGCGTCTGGGTGATATAGTAAAAAAACATACACAAACCATTATATACATTATTAATTATATACCAGGACCACGGAAGGGGTGGTTATTGGATGGAACATACATAGTCAGGGGTGTCCATATACCCTCCTTTCCGCGGTCTGGTAGATGTATAATGCGACATATGAACAAATGCCTGTTGTATTTTTTTTAATTGTTTTTCTGATATATACCTAGGTCAGTACCTAGGTCTTCCAACTATGCCACGTTTCTGCCTTTTCATCCATAAAACCAGCCCAAAGTCAGATATGTTGCATAGTTGGAGTATATAACCCTAGGGCTCCAACCATACCCTCAGAAGGTGGTTAGACCCCCCAAACACACCCCAACCATCTTCTCAGGAGGTGGGCCAGGAGCCCTAGGGTAAATAGGTGGCCAGGTGACCGAAACTGCCAGTTTTAGAATCCTATTTTGGATCGTTGCAAACTAAGCCGACTGATGAGTGTTTCTTTAAGTTTTTAACACTAATTTTAAGAGGGAGGTAGACTGGTCTATTTTCGGGGGGTTCTTCCAGCGTGTCGGTCTCCCCATTTCAATACACACCGATCTGTTCTAAGTTCAACCGATGCCCACCGGTGGGATTCGGGCGCCTTCCGCCCTTCGTGCCAGGTGCATCCCACCGGCCTGGTGAAGCCAGACGACGCGGATGCCAAGATCAAGTTCTTGGCCGCCGAGGCCGATGGGACGGACGAAACGGGTGTGAAGCTTAGAGGGGACGAAACGAGCGGAGGAAACGGGCAGGACCTTTTGGGGGGGGGGAGGCGGACCTTATACGTCCAAAAAACGAGGAGCCGGCGCTCTTTTGGAGCCGATGACCTCGTTGGTGTCCCTCGGGAGCACCCCTCTGGACTCCCCGACTCTGGACCATGGTGGTCGTGTTGTTTCTTCCTGTTGAGTGCATTCAAAGTCTAGGCCCTGCGTGGAGTGGGTGGTCTCATCTTGAACGCGGATGGCAAGCGCTTCTGCAACGAGCTGGGACGCTGGGGGCACCCAGAAGTACGTGACCCAGGAGTTCGTGCGGTGTTCCATCGAGTTCGGTTGGTTGAACGAAGGAACCGGAGAGTGTGGGGTTTTGCCTAAGAACACTCAACTTTTGAGACTAAATCATATCATTCTCAATCCATCGCTTTTTTTACATGACGGCTGGGAACAGGAGCTTTTGTAGGTTTGTGTGGAGAATTTGGCTGGTAGGGTTGACTGTTTTCAGGGAGTTTTCACAAAGCCACTTGAGAGTGGGCTTAACTACTTGTGGGGGGTGGGCAAGGTGCTTGTGAGTTTGCTGGCCAAACAGCAAGAAACGGACTGAATCTACTCAGCTACTTTGTCTCCTTTTGCACATGGTTTAAAGTTTAAAGTAGGCCACCAGGAGTAGCTGAGCGGTTGCTTGAAAACATCAGGCCGAGACTATGTCACTGGCGAAATGTGGAAGAGCAAGCCGCCCTTCAGGCAGGATCTGGTGAGGGTCAATCATGAAGAAATTCGTTTTGGCACGAGCCAAATACTTGGAAAGGCGAGGACTGGTTTGTTGCTGAGGAGAATAGTATCCAAATCTCAGGGACTCACTTGGTTGAACCCATGTTCTACCCTAAGAATCCGGGCCCGAAGCCTCCAATGAAAAGGGCGCCAGCTTTGGTGTGACCGGTCGGCGCTCGATCACTTCGGCATACTCATGCACTTCGCGAGTCCCAGTTGGCACCAAGGATGGGACTCCCGGTGCGTAGAGTCGGTAGGTTGTTTGGTCCATGAACTAGTAACAGGTGAATGAAATCATTCTGCACCATATTACCTACAATCATTGGGGCTCCAGATCCTATGACACAATGGTACACAAGTTGTTACAAGCATTCACCAGAATACACTGCCTTGGTGGGTGATATACTCACCACTTGAGACAGGCAGCGATTGGAGACAGCTTCGCACCTTCAGCTCCGAAACACGGCTTCGCACATTCATCGGACATCCTTTTTCAGGCGGTACCCTTTTCTCCGCCGGCGCGTGCGTCATGAGTGATTCGAGTCCTCCGGCAGTGTCTGCATGGAAGGATCGAGGTCGAACTAGGCGCGCCATGATGTGCCATTTCGATCCGCACGAACTTGAAGTGACAACGACATCGCCGTGTTCCGCCTCTTGCACAAACTCTTCTGCGCATTTGTGCGCAGACTCTCTTTGTGCTCCGAGTGCAAATGACCTAAGTCGATCGAAGTGTTCTTCGACGTCCACCGAGCGCCACAGCTTCGTCTGGTCCCGCCGGCTGGCCGGCAACTCGGAGATGGGTTGGGCGAAGGGAAACCTGCCGAAGCCTGGACACAAGAAAACACCAAAAACACCTCGCGGCAGGCTGTGCCTCAACAAGGCAGCGTCGGATGAGATCATTTGGCACTGCAAGCCGGGATCTCGGTGCCGATGTGCGGGCCGCCGGTTCAACGATCCGATGATCCCGATTCGGAAGAAAACCGTCGGATGGGTTAGAGTACCCCTATGGAGCCGTGTTCGTCTCAGGAGAATCGGTACGACTGGACCGTTTTGGCAAGCGCTGCCGGTGTCGAAGACTTCCTCACCTGCTGAGGTTCGGTACGACTGGATCCCTAGGGGTACTCTTCAACATATTCACTGATCCTCATGGACAGGATCATATAGGAATCCTAAGGAATCCATTGACGGAGGGGGGGCGCTTTCAGTGACGGGAGTGGATTTTTGTTGCTCACCTGGCTGCAGTGTGGAAGGTTTTCAAGAAGTGTTGGAGGGTCGTGGAATTTGGGGGCGTTTCAATGTCTCCAGCAAAACCACTGAGCCTTCCTCTTTTGCGACCCTTAATGGAATGGACACCCTTGCCCTTACCTTCCAAGAAGCACCCCAGTCGTATCTTTGAAGAGCCATACATAGATTTGGGTAGTACTTCCATCCAAAAGCACAACCCTTCGCATAGATGCCACGACCTGATACAACGTCGTTGAATGGGTTGGAGATAGTCCCCAGCAGGTCAACGTTCTCGTTTAACTGGGCCTCTTATAACGTGCTAGTTAAACTTGGCCTCGGCCACAAGTTACTTTCCTACCTACCTACCTACCTACCTACCTATACCTATCTGTGTAGATGATCTGTGATCTGGCTCGGTCGGAATTCCTTCACTTGGGTGTATCATGCAGTGTATATTTAGATGTGGGAGACTCTTGTCATGCGCACAGTCAAAATCATACACGCGCACCGTTGACGCTAGCTAGTCAAAACATGACATGGATCATGTGCATGTTCCTCGGCGCTTAGCGGATAGTGCGATGGTGCACCGGATGATCCGCTACGTATGTCCCTCTCTTAGACGCAACATGCATGTGCTATATGCGCCGATCGCTATAGCCAGCCGTCAGCCCTAGGCCATCATGAAAAGATGCGCATCCTTGTTGAGCCAGCGCCCCAACGTATGCATACACACGTGCTTTCGAGTTTGAGGCGTACAGTTGATTGGGATGATGTGGTACGTTCTTGGTTTTGGATGTTTGGGCAGCCGCCTTCGGCCCAGTGTATGAGGCCGGAGCTTGATTGAAGATGATGCGATCTCCGAAGCCACCGACACTGATTTAGGTGCCATCACAGGTGTGCTATAGAAACATTGCACTCGAAGTTGGCTGACATGTGCAATTCTAGACTCTTCTTTGGGTTCAAACCGTATTCGCATGGCTCATTAACTGAGACGCGTGTATATTGCAAGAGATGTGAGTGCTTTATAAACTTAGGCCCAGCAGGGTAGACGCATATGCATATACAGAACCAGGTAATTAGATCTAGACGTCCAATATTCTTCCCACGAACCCACTTTTACTTTTGGCTTGGCCATTTGCTGCGGCTGCGGGTGCTTTGTCGCGATGCCGGACAGCAAGCCTCGGGAGACCAACACAGCATTGCTTGAGGAGACTGTGCATGTACTTGGCACTTGGTGTGGTCTTGGGGCAGGGGAATGGATCAGCTGGGCAAGAAATAAAATTGCCTGTAGGAGCTTTACAATGAATTCCTTACTAGAGATGGCTACATCAAGGAGAGGATGGACAAGCAAAAAAAAGCGAAGTCCAAAGGAAAGAAGGCTTGGCCAGTAGTTCCTGACTACACGTATCTATATAACTGTACCATCTGTGTCTATTGGATTCGCAGGTCCATGGTTTCAGCTTCCTTGACACCACAGGAAAAACCATCAATGAGGACGAGGCCTTGGGCTAGTCAGTTTTTCCTTTTTCCACAACCCTGGTAACCCTGGGTTCAACGGTCATATGCGCCCTCAAAAATTCCAGGTATGCAGCAGTCACAACAACTTCGACTTCATGGCTGCATATGTTGGAAGCTTCGCTGCAAATCTCCCAACTATGAAGGAGGTGAAGGTGCCCCTTTAGTGAGTGCGTTTTGCCAAGAGGTTGACTTCATTGCAAGATGCTTATATATATATATATACAGGTGAATTAGTTGCTTCAACAACAACGTTCCTCACCACCTTTCTCCTCTTCCAGGTGGCTTTGATCAATGTTAGCAAGGCGCACAGGTTGAATGACTGTGGCGAGAACGCACAGGGCCGAAAGAAGTTGGAGGTAGCCATCATGCATGATGCATGGCATGATCGTGGTACAGTAGATCTGTCGCTGGCCACCACCCCTGGATCTGAGCATCCGCACTGTCAGGCTTGGGCTGAATTGGAAGGCGGCCTTCAGCGTGGCTTCGCATCGTACATTTGCTTTAGAGCAAGGCGGAATTCTGGGACAAGGACTGATAGTTAAGAATACTAGAGTCATCTACGTAGCACCCAATCCACTTGAGTCAAATATATGTTGGGCGTGAGTGCTTCCTCTCCAACACTATAGCTAGCTATGTACATATAACAGAAAGAACGTGCAAGGAGAGGGCATGAAGCAATGGGCAAGCTAAAGGAGATTGCCCAGATCGTGAAAGAGGCCAGGGAAATCAACAAATACCTCTGATGGGATAGCAGTCGACTTGTCAGGAAGCTGCAGCTGTAAAAGAGGATCCTACCCAAGTGGCCTAGCCCCCAGAATATCCGGATCAAATGTCCACTGTTTTGCACAGCAGCCAAGTCAGTCTTTGCCGTTTGAAAAATATCTGACGGTGCGTGGCTTTCATAGCAGTGCAGCACCGCAAGTCTCCCCTTTGCTGAGGCTGAGGGGTCAAAGGGTCCTACAGCTGAAGGTGGGGAAGAAGAAAAGCGGACTGACGATGAATGTGTGGAAACCGGTGAGCATGATCTTGATGACACGAGTCAACCGGATGATGTTGGTGACGAGTGTGAAGAGGGTGAGGCAGGAGAGGGTGAAGATGCTGGCAAAGATGATTTTGAAGAAAACGAAGATAAAAAGGGCACCTATAAGGACCAGAAACTCACAACTCAAAACTATACAGCTGTATATTTATAGAGAAATTGTTTATAAAAATACTCGGACAAACATTGCAGGATCGTGCTCCAGTGACTCCGAAGCCCACTCCCTTGGCAGCAGCGGCCCTAGAAGCATTTGAGTTGCTGGCCAAAGACTTGGAACCCAACGACCTCGATGATGATATCCTGAAGGCGGAAATTGTTCTTGCAGGTCCCCTTGGAGCGTCATCCAAAAGACTACTATCTAGCTATATAGTGTTTCTGTGGTCAGGCCCAAAAAGCACTCCGCAAAGCAAGTGATGATCGAGGGGAGGAGAGCTCTCAGGTCTCATCGAATTTGGCAGCCAAGAAACGGCCAGCTGGCAGGGGCCGCGCAAGGGGGCGCGGGAGGGGTCGAGGCAGGGGGCGTGGTCGTTCCAAAGCACAGCCTAAGCCCGTTCCCGATCTCATAGGTAAGTCATCCCCAGCTGCAGCAGCATCTAATGAAGAAGAACCGTCGAAGAAGCGAAAGACTTCAAAAGCCGCAGAGGATTGGATTTGTTAATTCATAAATTTATGCGCAGGTTGCAGGATACAGGTCTATATATATAATACAGTCTGCCCAGGAGGCTCCAAAGAAGCCAAAAGGATCATCTGATCAAATGGATTCCGATTGGGAAGCCTTGCAGAACATTGCCAAAGGGGACGATCTCATGGACATGCCTGTAGAACAGAGACGGCTATGACCTTATTATGCAGTCCTCTGTGGTGGTTTTTGGGGGGTGGACCGCTTTCCTTTCTTTTTGTGCTTTGGCATCCGTTTTGGGGTCCTGTCAAGGGCACTTCATGCTGGGGTTGTGAGTACCCAGGTCTTGGACACTTCGCGGTCCTCAGCCAGATGATCCAACCATCGGAGTTGTGTTGGAACCTCAGCCGCCCGGTCCACTCAGAGTTGAGCCACTCACAACAACGAGGCTGTATGCAAGATCCTTTTATCTGAAGAAGGTCGATGGCAAGAGGTTGAAAAAATACAACAAGGCACACGATAACGACTTGAAGGCCGGCCATATAAACTTCAAATTCCAACACACGTGTGTATATATGTTCTGGGCCCTGAACATGTCCATTTTGATTTATAATATTAATATTGGTTCCGAAATGGGCTAGGTCCATGGTGTCCGTTTTGTAGCCGAAGCCTTTAGTGTGATGGTCTTTTGCAGGCACCTGGAAACATTATAGAATAGCTTTGGGGGTAGCACTGAGCTGAGCGTTTTCCTGGTCGTTCAGACCAACGCACAAGATGGCCTCACCCTTGGATGGCATCGGTACGACACTCTTGCGGAAGCGCCCATCACTCAGATTGAAGTTTGTCGGCTCCCATGTTGTGATCGTGGGGGTTTCAAACACGCCTGAGTCATGAGGTGGTTGGCAGCGAAGGTGATCGCGCATTGGACTTGCGATCCGGACCTCGGTGATTGAGTAGTAGATCCGTAGAACTTGCCCACCACCTGTCAGGCTGTTTCGGCAAAGCTGCAAAACAACTGGGCCTGTGCAATTTCTTCTCTTCATACTCAATGCATTTCAATGCCATGTGACCACATATCTAAGCATAAATATTTATAATGCACAAACGATGTGGTCACCTGGCCTGTCTTGATCATATTAATGGGGAACTGCTGGCACTTACAGGCTGAAGTCTAGACCTATATAAACTATGCGCAAAAGCATTCTTAAGGTTCAAAGCTTTTGTGAGGGAGGTAGCGCAGGCTGGCGACAATGCCAAATCATTGGAGTAAGGGACCGATGGCCCTGACTCGATCCCAGAGCGCTGCCTTGATCGCGTGCGGGGTTCCACTGATTATGCGTGAACCCCAGACCGGTTTCTCGTCCGAGATCTACGCATTCTCATGCCACCATGCCCAGGGTGCACCTTTGTGACTACATAGCCCAGACATTCGAGGAACCTCGTGTACAAACCTGAGTAACCTGCGCATGCAGTGAGGGCAAATTGCTATAAATAAGCACTATATTGCTCGAT